GCTGCGTTGCTTGGAGGACGTTGGATGGGCAGTATTTATTTATGTCTCTGTGTTGAGCCACATAGGTGCGTCAGCTTGTTATCTGTAGCTTGCGGTCTTGACACCATGCTCCCATCTGCAGAGCAGAAACACACTTGGACCTAATGTTAAAGCACTTGCACCTCTGCTTGCTCCTTTTGCTCCAGAGAGCCCAAAAGCTGAAAACATTGCAACAGCTTGAAACTTTGAGAGGTAGCTAGTTCCCCTTGCAGTAAATGTGTGGGTAAAGAAACTGCCCTTAAAAGGATCAAGGGAAAAATGTTGGGGGGAGATGTTTTTCATTTATTTGTTTACAAATGCACATTTTTTTAATGGATGTTTTATATACAATTATTGAGCAGCGTATAGATCAAGGGCAGAACCACATTTATGTGCAATTGTTGTCTTGTTTTCCATAGTGGTTTTTGAGCACCAATGTGTTTTCCTTAACTACTTAAGTTATTTAAAGCCAATTCTCACTCACAGTGGCCCTCCGTTAACCACAACTCTACCCAGCTGGTGTGGTCTGATAGCCCGCTGTCTGACAAGTCCCCAGGTTTATGATGTAAGTAGAATGACTCCATACCTACATGTTTTGGGTTTTATTTATTTAACTTCAGAAAAGCAGGGGTTTTTTTTCTCTTTTTAGGTAAAAGGTTTGTATGATATACATACTGCAAGAAAGTGCTGGTTTGTCCTAGGCAGAAAAGATCTAAGTCTCCTCTGAGGCAACAGCTTCTGTTACTAGAAATCACAGAATCATAGAATGGTTTAGGTTGGAAGGGACCTTTAGAGGCCACCCAGTCCAACCCCCCTGCAGTGAGCAGGGACATCTTCAGCTGGATCAGGTTGCGCAGAGCCCCGTCCAACCTGTCCTTGAATGTTTCCAGGGATGGGGCCTCCACTACCTCTCTGGGCAACCTGTTCCAGTGTTTCACCACCCTCATTGTAAAGAATTTCTTCCTTATATCCAGTCTAAACCTACCCTGGTTTACTTTAAAAACATTACCACTTGTCCTGTCACAGCTGGCCCTACTGAAAAGATTTTCCCCATCTTTCCTATAGGCCCCCTTTAGGTACTGAAAGGCCGCAATCGGGTCTCCCCGCAGCCTTCTCTTCTCCAGGCTGAGCAGGCCCAACTCTCTCAGCCTGTCCTCATAGGAGAGGTGCTCCAGCCCTCGGATCATTTTTGTGGCCCTCCTCTGGATCCGCTCCAACAGTTCCATGTCCTTCTTGTGCTGAGGGCTCCAGAGCTGGATGCAGGGCTCCAGGTGAGGTCTCACCAGAGCAGAGTAGAGGGGCAGAATCACCTCCCTCAACCTGCTGGCCACGCTTCTCCTGATGCAGCCCAGGGTACAGTTGGCCTTCTGGGCTGCCAGCACACATTGCTGGCTCATGTCCAGCTTTTCATCCATCAGTACCCCCAAGTCCTTCTCCGCAGGGCTGCTCTCAATGCCTTCATCCACCAGCCTGTATTGATATCAGAGATATTCTTATTGTTCAAATGCTACATTAAGAAAAAAACATTTAAGGATATAGGAAAATTACAGGCGTAGTCAATAAACCAGTTCAGTGAATCACTTCAAAATATTCAGTCCCTTCTCAACACTTTTGGACAAGATTCTTTTCCTGTTACTGCTAAGGTTGCATTGAGGTCTCCCTCAGAGAAGACACTGACACATTTACCCATGCCAGAAAGAAATCTGGTAGAGATTCCCTTCATTGTTTCCACTCTGAAATTTGAGATCACATTTCAGAAACTGTTAATCAGTTACTTATCTCAGTCTAGCAGGTCACTATACTGTCTTTACAGCCATGTCTTGCAATAATTAATGCTTCATTCTCCTATTACTCTTGCAGGATCCTGATACATGTCATTCCTATCTGTACAGTGCTTCTGAAATCTACAACTTCTTATGAGCTGCTTTTAAATAAAACCATAGTACTATGTGGGATCATTCAGATTTGCAGGTTCTCTGGAATGGTAACATCTTTGCTATGTTCAAGTAGTCTTGGACCAAATTAATAGAAATCTTTTCCTAGAGAGTTATGAATACCACTTGCAACTTTGAAATACTTTGCATTTCTTTCTGGTATCATTAGTGTCTTGCTTTTACCTAATAGTAAAATTTCAAAGAAATTTGAAATGTCTGCTGCCTGTTTGGAGCTATTAGAAATGCAAGAAATTGGCCTCCTTCCCTTCTTTGTGATGCCACTGGAGATCTTAAAACAGATCTAGGCTGGAAGGCATCCATCAGACCAATTAGTCTACTTGTGTGTTGCCCATGTGTCTTATCTGTGTATGATCTTATGAGATTAGTTATCCAGTAACTGAGGATCTAACCAGAATGAACATGCAAGCTTTGGCTTTCATTTTCTCTAACGGTTGGACTCTTCCCCCCCTTTACTTCTCATTCTTAGCTACTACCGTGTGTGGAAACTTATTCTTTAATTGGATTGGTTCTGTGACATACACACACACTCCCTCTTGGGGGGATGTTAACTTCATTATTAAAAATGCTTATAAGGCTGCATACTTTGTTAAGGTGTATAATGTGGATCTTTCACATTGTACTCTCTCTTCTTGTTCCTATTTTGGTGCATTGCTGCATTAGTCTTAGGAAAGAATATAACTTAGAGATTTTATTTCTACTTTCTTTTCAAGATCTCCAAACTCTGCAGTTGCTTCATGGCTTTTCGTTTCTTTGCATGGCTGGCTTTGCTACAGCACTGTGACTATATCATTTTATTGCTGGCTAAAAAGCTGTGGAATCTTTTGCCGTCCTATTAAGTGCAGGTGAAGCAACTGAGAGAGCCATGTCTCTAGGGGGACAGAAACTGCTTTGGAACAGTTGTGCTTTTGTGAGGTATTTCCAGGAAAATGGAATGATGCAGCTGAGAGAATTCAAGACTGAAGACTTTGAATTAAACAAACGAAAAAGTCTAAATACTCAACAGAATGTAACATAGCTGGAAAATGTCTTTCAAAGACAAGTAATAAATCCTAGATCTCATTCAGGTGCATGTCTGAGCAGTTATGACATCTATATAGAGAAGAAAGCGTGCAAGTATGTTGCTGTACTGACTGTATATTTGTGTATTGTTTTCAGTTTTTGTTGTTTTTTTTCCTCTGGCTTTGTTACAACCTTATTTAGAATTCATTTTCACTTCTGTGAGTGGGAGTACATCTCTTTAATTAGATGCCAACAGGGACCTTTAAAGTCTGAGAGTCAAATAATCTTATTACATAGTCCACCTACAACCTATTCCTAAGTATGAGATCATGTCATCTAAGTTTCAATTTGCATGGTATGCACGTAAGGTTCAGAGCTAGCATGCAGGGGGTGAGGTACAGTGGATTTTTTTCCAGAGCTGCTGTTGTTATTCCTTGGTGATGTTCTCTCACTGCTTTAAGACTGTGCCATTAGGCTTACCATTAAGTGTTTCCCACCCAAACAGAATCCAAGTTGGAAGTTAAAAGCATGAAAGGCTGCTATAGTTAGTGTTTAAAATTATAATTTTCAAAAATTCACTCCTATTTTTCTCTCCTGGTGTTATCTTCAGTACATGACCATTTGGCAGGGCTTTCCAATTTATCCCAAACTCTAATGTAGGTCACTTTTCTTACCTTTTGACATGTCCTGTGAAACTTCTAGTAATTCTCTGTTTCATCAGCCATTTATCCCATTTGGAAGAAGCATCTGTGCTATCACCTGCTCTTCCTGATTTTTTTTTCTTGTTTGTTCAGGAGTGCGTTTTCTGTCCTACACACACTCCCACCCATTTTTTTAAGTTTAGTTCTTGCACCATACACAGTGTGACAACTTGGTATGAAAGTAGAGGGAATTGAATTACTTTTCTGAATATGCAAACCCAGTAAGGAAACTTCATTTGCAGTCTATGTAAGTCTTGAAGGAGGTAACTCTAAATTAGTAAGTAAACTGTTCAGCCATGCCTCCCCCCTCCTCTTTTTTAGTGCTTCTGGCTTCATAGCAAAAAATGTTTAGTTTCCTTGATGAATTTGAACTCAAGCTGAGAAATAGAGAAACTCTTAAGTGGAGCATCAGATTAAAGTTGTAATATATTTTGCATGCATGCTACTTAATGCTTTTGTTTTGGAGCCACAAGATAAGTAACTTTTGATGCAGGTTTTGTCATCCTTGATGCCTGTGTTGCATTCAACACCAGCAGTGTACGTGATGACTACCAGTGCTTTGTATGGGCGGCGTACTTTGCATGTGCTTCTTTATGCACTGCCTTAGGAGGCAATAAAGACTGGCTTTGTAAGCAGGAACTGCTTTAAGTAAGCTTTAGCTGTTTTAACGTCTCCAGCACACGTTCTTAGGAGCATGAGCAGATTTTACCACAAATGGGACAGAATACTGTGAGGTCCCTCAGGGTGAGGGTCAGCACATCAAAGCAAAATTCAGTCTCTTGTAGGGTTTTGGATTTAGGTACTTAGCCATTCTAGTTTCTCGGTTTAAGTAGTGAAGTTCAGACCTATGTTTTTGAGTGAATTGAAGCTATTCCTACAGAACTGTAGGGGATTGCAGAGGCCAGTTTAGGGTTATTCTTGGAAGAATTTCAAGTCTCTAGGGATCTACTTGGATACATTTCCTGTCTTTCTTGAAAGAATTGTTCACGCTGCATGAAGCACAGTAGGTTTATTCACCCATCCTCTTTGCTTGCAGACATAGCAAATCCATGTACTACATGGGATTGTTCATGGACATTCTCTGGGGAAATACATGAAATAAATTGCTTGCTGCTTGCAGTGAAATGAAATAAATAAGTGGAACTTGGCTCCTACAAGGCAATGTTTGTTCACTGTGCTGAAAGAAAGCTCGGTGTTTTCTCTGGAACTGATCATGTTTACGTACATGTAATTACAGCAGCCTGGGACAAACCAGCAAAGACTGAGTTAGGACTTGCCATATAGTGTAAAGCCTGTGGTCCTCTCCTTTCAGTATCGCACTTCCAAGAGCTTTTCAGCCTTTTAGGGAATGTTCAAGTGTACTGTGTGTTCTTACCAGTTTCTTATCTGATAGGTGGCTGCAAGGATTTGCTGTTAAATAGCATTATGGAGACAGGAGATGCTTTGGGAGCTCACTGCAGCCACTTCACACGTGGCCCTGGTGTCGCAGTACCTCCTGGTGTGCTGTTGGCCCTGCCTTCCCCTCCTTGGTGCCTCTCCAAGGGCAAACACTGTGAGTGGCAACTTGTGATAGAGCTTCTCAGCTTCTTTGACTTCTTTAAAATATAACCAGCCAACAGTCACAAACTGCCAGCTTCTTACTTGTTTTTCTGCTTTTCATTGTTATTTCAATGTCTCTTCTTCAAACCCAGGATATATAGGGATTTCAGATTTTCTTAAAGAGCCGATTATTTTGTGTACCTTTTTTAATCGTCTTGATCTTGTCCCTCAGACTTTCACTTTTTTGTAGTGAAAAGCTTGTAAAGGCTGTTTCTGCCCACTGTAGCGGAAGCCTTTAATTTCTGCCCTTTTTCTTTTTTAAGATAGTGACAGTAGTTCAGTGTTTTCTTTGCAGTCAAAGAAAGCAAGTGTCCTGAACTGTATTTGCTCTTTGAGAACAGTGCTCTCTATCGCAATAACCCTGTCTCTAATAAGCAGTGATAAATCTGGATGCCACCAAGGCTCTGAGAAATTAGCATTCATTCTAAGTAGGGTTTGTCTTGCACCTGACGCTGAACTGCACCGTTTCTTTCATTGGTTTTGGTAAACTCCCGACACCAATTCCAGTCCTCATTAGTTAAATATTCTGTATCATCTAGGCAGCTTCTGCTGCCTTTTTTTTGCTGATTATCATTCTGAAATAATGACAGGAAGCTTTCCCAGGAAGTTTTATTTAGCCAGGCACTGCATTTTTCATTGTGGACAGGTTAATCAGCATTTTCAATCTCAAGTGCCCTGAACTCCTGTTCTGCAGTATGGGTAGGGCTTTCTGGTCAGGCTGATCACAGGCATCCTATCCCCCGTAGCCTGTGGCCTCCTTCCTTTGCCAAAGTGGAAGAAAATGATGTATTTTGAGAAGGTTGCCTGATAGGTGTCCAGCCTACCAAGGAGAACAGCAGTACACACGCTTACTTAGCTTCTGCTAAGCAGGATGGAGCTATTCACGTGGGGAAATAATTGCTTTCAGTTGCAAGAAAGCAAGCTTATAGTACTATTAGGACTTTCTTCAAATATGAGGAAGCCCCATTTTCTGAGCAATTCAGCTGTTTTGCCTTTTACCAAGACCATGTTAAACAGGAGTGAAAGATGGTACAGTTGCGTGCTGTTATATTATGCTGTGTAGAGAAATTGGTTTGTTACACTTCAGCAATTTCTAGTCTCTGGCCATGTATTTCATCCCATCTCTGCCAAAATAAATTCACAGGGTTTCGTGAGCCGCTTTCTTAAATGATTTTGAAAAGAAAATGTATCAGAACTAGTTACAAAACTATGAAGCAAGCACTTTCTTGTATCAGTCTTTTGTACTTTTATGGCTCAGGAGCATTCCTAAGAACTAGATCAAGTAATTCTCTATTTAGTAACCAGGAAAGAGTAAGCAGATAGTTTAAAAGAATGTGGTTAATTTTTGATCTATAACAAAAATTTGTTGAGGAAACCTTGAATATAAAGAGTTTGGGCCTAATGTGTTCTTACCAGTTTGCATGAGTCTTTTACTAATGAACTTGACTAATTAGCAACAGATGCAACTCTGACTTTGTATCTGGAGTGACTTAATTGTGCTTGGTCTCCAGTCTTTTTCCTGTACTGCCTTCTAAATTGTCACGCAAAAAACAGTGTATACTGCTCATCTCTCCTGTACTTCTGGTAAACTTCCAGTGCTATTAAATCCCTAGTTACTCATTTCATAATCTAGTTCTTGGATTCAGCTCCCCCTCATCTCTCCACAATGGCAGTAGTTACACAGGGAGCAGTAAGCTGATTTGCAAACTCTGTGTTCAAGGTTATTTTTAACGTTTCTTAAGGTGGAACGTTACTGCTTACTGCTTCTGTATTGACACGTAGGTAAACTCTTCTCTTCAGTTACCTTCTTGGCAAAGGCCAGATGTTGTGCACTGTACAAAGATTTTTCTTCTTTTTTTCCAGAATCAAGAACAGCTTAGAGAAGAGGATTCTGATTTTATTCTGAATGATGGTGACCTTACCGTGACATACGGTGATACAACAATAACTGCAAATGGTTCTTCTGGCCCCCATACAGCTACCACTAGCCTTGACGGCAGGAGAACAAAAAGTAGTTCAGAGGAAGCACTGGAACATGATTTGGGAGCAGCAGATCATGAAGTTACAAGCAGGGGTACCCGGCTAGTATTTCCTCTGGAAGACAATGCGTGATTACTGACTCAGTAAAAATAACTCTTGCTCTGTGGATGGATCAAGGAAGACTGCAGGCCGCTGTGTCACTTGAGGTGGGGATGTTTATTTAAACAAGGTAACATGCGTAAGTGGTTCTACTAGGGTCTGAAGACGTCACCTATTTTTTACTCAAGATGCTGACAGTGGGGTTTTCTAAATGCCTGAAAACAGACGAATGAGAAAACTGGTCATTCTCTTTTCAACTGCATATTGAATCCAAGTATAACTAGCATGCTGCAATTGTCTTGTTCAGCTGCAGCAGCTCTCTCTGGAGAGAGGTACATGAAAACATTGTCATAGAACTGAGCTTGTCTTGGCTTAGCTTGGGAATGCGGAAGAAGAAATATAAACATGATAATTATTATGAGATAAAAAATTATGTGTGTGTATCTGAATGTGGAGAGATCCACTGTTAACTTCTCTTGTGAGGTTGAGGAAGTTATAAGGTAAAACAGGACAAGTATACATTAGGACTACAGGTGCATGAATGTGAGACTCTGTGGGGAATCTGTTACTGCAAACTGTACTTCAATATATTTCAGGGAAAAAAAGGAAAAGAAGATTTCTTCACTGGCCGCATGTTTAAATAGGAAGGCAATGAGAGCTACTTGTCCCTTTAGCTTTGGGCAACTTGACTATTACTATTAGCCTAACTTTTAGTGCCTCAAAAGAAAACCATCCAGCTTCTGTGGTCTAAGATGTACCTGACCCAACACAAGCCAGAGCCAGGCGCTCTCAGGTAGAAGTCATGAGGTAAAACTTTCTCTCCCTTAAGGTTCTTAAAATCAGATGAAGACAGTTGGAAACGTATCTTGGGATGGGGAAAAGAGGGCGTAAGAGGAGGAGGGGGCGAGGGGGGAAGAGAGAGAGAGGCAGGCAGTATTGAACTTGCATGGAACCATGAGGTTTCATATTGCTCAGAAGAATCCATGGACTCTGCTTACAGTTCTTGTGTGTGATAAACAGCAAACATCTAATTAAATGGACAAAGAAATACTACTGGCTTTACCATTTGTGACTATCCTAAAAGAAAGGTGTTTACTCTTGTCCTCTTTCGCAGAGTAGATGTGAAACTTCCGTGGGGCATTGCACAACAACATGTAAGCTACAGAAGTGATGAACTGTACTATCATCTTAAATGTGAAAAGGGAAAAATCTTTGCCTAGTATTTAGCCCACTTACACGTAGGCTAGCTTTAACTTATTGCTAAATGCTTTTTAATTTCCAAATGAGGAGATGTCATTGTCTTTGCCAATAGCTGAAAACTTATGCTTCAAAGAGCAGTTCAGCTGTTTAAAGCATGCTAAAATGTGATTTCATTCTCATGTCTCAAAAAGGTTTATTTTTTTAAAGAGTTCTGTGGCCCACTAATGTGATGTAATATCAGTTTGTCTAAAAAGTGTGTTTTTCTTGCTGCCATTTCAGTTGTTCCTCTCATAAAATTGTGTGTGAGTAAATACCCACTCTGTTTTTCCTTAACTATTAAACTTAACGGGCTAACTTTGCTATGAGAACTTACTGCTGCGGAGAAATATTGCGGTCACGTTGTCTAGTCTGCTTTCTTTCAAATGTGTTCTCTAATGAGTGATCTACCTCCTTGTCCGTCCCTCCAAGGTAAATTTGTAAAGGGCATTGATTTGTAATGACTGTCTGACATTATTAAGAAAAGAGACACAAGGAAACCAGAAGCTTTTTTGTGGAAAAACTGGAAGAGCAATACAGTCTGAGCTCTGTTCTTAAACGGTGAAGAGTAACAAACCCTGATGAAGATCTCTGAGCAGATCAACTCCCTTTCAGTCTCCTCTGCTTTCGAGGAAGACAAAGCAGATAGCAATGATCCATGTTATTTATACGTTTACGTGGCTTTTTTTTTTTCTTTTTTTACATGCTCTGGCAGGAGAAAAAAGTGTCCTCCTAAATTACAAAAACAATTGTATTCATTTCGGACGAGTCTTTGTGACCCATGCTGTCAATGCTGAGTGAGGACTTGAGACTTCTACAACAATTAGAGTTATTAGCTGAGTCATATGAATAAAATTTTGGGTTGAGACAGTGAAACTTACCCAAAATAAATGGACTTAATAGAGTGAGGCAAATCTTTACGTGCAGCTTGAAGCTGAAGCTTACCAAATTGCTTTGGCTGCAAAACAGAGCCTTATGCAGAGAGATATCTGTTCTTTGGGAGAAAGATCAGGTACAGATTCTGGAAGTAGAAATTCTGTTTCATTAGCTCCCTCGGGAAGATTGAATCTCTTGAAAGCATCAATAAACCATCCCAGTGCAGATATTTCTGTCTGTGTTTTTAATTCCCATAACAGAAATATACAATTCGATGAAGTTCGCCATTAAGCCCAAAATGTGATTGTGAAAAAGCAGCCAAAATAGACGGATCATTGGTGAGAGGTGAGGAATGAGAGTCTTAACTTGACATTCAGAAGTTACTTAAAATGCTTATCCAACATGGTGAGGAGAGGCCTCTATACACAAGCTTAACACAAGCTTACTTTTTATTCATATATTACAATTAGTTTTATTCCTTGATTTTTATCTATTTTTCATTTTAAGTCTTCTTCCAAAATTGGACTTCACTGCCAATAAAATGTAAGCTAAAACATCTAGCCTCTTCTTACTACCGACACAGATCCTTGTACCAAATTCCCAAGGGACTCCTTTACTGAAAAAGTGGGAAAAATGAAAAAAAAAAAAAAAAAACCAACCCTCCTTGTCATGAAACACTGCATGAAAAAGTGGGAAAAATGAAAAAAAAAAAAAAACAAACCAA